GTCTATATATAACTTTATATAATATTATTTTAAATAATATTATATAAAGTTATATATAGAGACTTTTAATATATCTGGCATAACTATAACCTTAAATATTACCTATTGCATCAGGTTTTAGATATATAAATATTGATCTAAGTTCAGTATCTTCAATAATTTGAAATGGTCAATTTTTTTTTATAATCTAATGTTTAACCATATTAATAAATTTGCCTCTATTAAATAGTTCACATGAATGATTATTAATCTAAATACGTATAAGTATTTATTTAAATTAGTTTTTTTTTTATTTATTTTATTTATTTTTTATTTATTTATTTATTTATATTTATATAAAAACTTATGCCTGACTTATTATTTAACATATCCACAATTGAGATGCCTTCTTTTACATTTAATTTCTTTAATTTAGGTACTTTGGTCTTGTGAGAATTAAGGTGCCTTTTAAGATTTGATATCATTCTATGCTGGTAAGTTAACTTCTGATTACAAATCTCACAAATTGTGTAGTTTTCTTCTTCTTTTTTTTTAAAGTATTTTTATACAAAAGATCTATGAAACATACTATTAATATAATATATTAAACAGCATACGTATTAAACAATTATAATATTTTAATTACCTGGTATATGTAGAATTACTACTATTTGACTTTTGTACTTGTGATGATTTACTAACTTCAGATTCATCTAATTGTAACTCTGGTTCATACTCTTTCTCATATATTAGTTCATGCTCTTCCTCATGCATTAGTTTATACTCTTCCTTATACATTGGTTCATATGTACTCTTTTCTATATATAGATTCATAATCTTTCTCATAAGAAGATATAGATGGAGTTGGCATTACAATGTTCTTGTTTCAAAAAAAAAATCATAAGACAAAAAAAAAAAAGAATCGTATAAGACTTATTTAAAAGAATCATATAAGACTTATTTAATAAGATTGTATGAAACTTATTTAAAAAATAATGTGAATCTTGTTCTAGTGTTGAAGCAAATAACAAATTTTTTTTTATCATTTTGATTAGTATACTTATATATATTATTACTGACTAATAAGTGTATAGTATAGTATCGGGTATTCAATTCAGACCTCTATGTGGATCCAAATTCAATAGATCTTATAAATCATAGATCTGGATCCGATTCGATAGGTCAGATCCGATTCAGATTCAGATCTTTGGATCAGATCTGTGGAATACTAATTAGTATTTATATTTTCAAATCGAGGCTTTAAATTTCAGTACTAGCTAATTTCAGTATTAGCTACAATAATAATTTTGCTCCCTTATAATTTTAATAATAAATTATCACTTTGTACTAGAATTTTAACAAATTCTTAATTAATAGATTCACGATCCACAATAAACAAAGACCTTATCTCATATAAAATATTTAATAATTCATTTTTATTTTTTGACTTTATTCTTGAATATCACTTCTGTAAGTCTTTATAAAGTAGTTCAAGAAAAGTTTTTATCTTTAGTAAAATTTCAGTTTTAGACATATTTTTTTTACTCTTCTGAGCTTTTGTTTCTTGATTTGTAATTGGTATAGACCTAAATAAAAATGAATTATTTTTATTAATAAAATACTTTGGTAATAAATTTTTGTTGTGTTTGCTTTGCTAAAGATATGAAATTTTGTAGATTTCATTCAAATCATATTCCTCCAAGTCTTGGTTTACAAATTCAACACCATGCAAATAAGTTTAAAATCTTTGGCATTCTATTGTTGATTCTGGTCATGTTCTTAGTCCAAGTGCTTGATCATTATTATATCTAATTACTTTAAATAAATTACTTCGAAGCTAAAATTTAATACTAATTAAATGAATACAGTTTTAGATATAGCTAATTTAATTAAAATAAAGATATTACCTCAATAAACTTTTTGCAATTGCGTGCTGCAATTTGCCAGTGATAATATTGTAGAATTGAAGGTATTAAAATTTTTAATGTCTTGTTTACTTTTTTAATAATTGCGTTTAACTCTTGATGTTGTTCAAAAATGCCTAACCTGGAAACAACACAGTTTTTCTCTATAGCATTATGTATTCTGGATGAAGCTGTATTAGTTAAATCTCGTTAGCAACTTCTATCATTCAATAAATGGGATGATGTTTTGCAAACTATACTGGCGAAAACACTCTTCTAAAAGCTTTCTTTAAAAGAAGATTATTAGTTCTTATAGCTTTTCGATAGTTAATAATTGTCTGAAGATAAACAAAAATCTACAATAACAAAAATTAGTATTAAAAATTTTTTTATATAAAAAAAAAAATAAAACCTGATAACAACCTGTTTATATTTAATTTGATAAACTGAATCTTACTATTTTTTAGCTCAAGAAAGATATCTTTAAACAAATAACTCAGAATTGCTTCTCGCATAAAGCTCTATAGAAATCACCTAATGATAAATATTGCAAATAAAATCTCAAAAACTTGTGGTAATCTGCATATTTTTTAAAATATGCAAGCTGATTTTCAGTCTGATATCCTTAAGATTTTGCAAATTGTTTTATGTTGATTTCTCTAATAAATAATAAAACAATAAAATTTTAATATACTTAATATAGTCGAAAATTTTTTTAATTTTAACTATAGTAACATGTTTGCAAAAATTATTATCTAGATTCAGATTAATTTATATAGTGACTCAAAAATACTTATAAAGCATATTCATTTCTTCATATAGTTGATTAGTATAAGAATTCACCAAGAAAATTTTTCTTTAAGTTTGATGACATAATTGTATAGTATACTATTACAAACTACTACTATTCATTTGTGAGCACTATACTTAATACTGGATATTAACTCTATGTATAAATGAATTTTTTTGATATTGAAAATTGAATTAGAGTTAATATTAATCAGATTAGAAATGTAAATATCGAGAATATTGATTCTTGGATCTCTAGTTTGTTGAATAAAACTAATTCTAGAAATATATGCAGTATTTGATTTATTACTAATAACATTTGGTTTAAAAGTAAAATAAATTAATTGATTAGTTGAGTTATCTTCAACTACATTTTCTTCTTAAATTTTAGCCAATGTTAGCAATCGTGTTTCGCATTTTGGGCATAACCTTCTTTTGTTTTTAATATTTTGTTGGTCATATTTAAGACATTTTTTCATGTTTGTAATATTCATTTCTGTGGATACTATAAGAAAATTGATAGTATTAGTAGGAGATAACTTTTCTTCGATTAATAAACTAAGAATTTTACTAAGATAAATATCTAATTCTTCATCAATAAGTTTTTGCATTTGGTTATTAACATCAAAAAGTTCTTTATACTGTAACTTGTCAAGAGAATCATACGCTCAAGAAGAATTAATATACTGAATTTTATTGTACAACACCAAATTAAAACTAATAAAACTAGTGACAATATGGTAAATAACTACTGTATTAAATCCCTAGTCAAAATAATTTTTCTGCCTTCTTTGTTTATTGTCAAAAGCAATAAACAAAAAACCTTCAAGTAATAGTTCTTCATACTGTAACAATTTTTTTAGCTACTTTTGGAATCAATACTCACTTCTCAAATTTGTAATATGATTATCAATATTAATAATCATTCTTGACCTTGCAATTAAATATTTAATAGCCGAAAGAGCAAGTTGAACTTCTGATATATATTTTTTGTAACATGCTCCATATATCAAATCAATAGCAGTGGCTATTTTAAAAAGCTTTTCCTGGCTTAAATTAGAATTATCATTATTTTGAACTAAGGTTTTTACAGTACAAGATAGCAAAAAACATCTAATTTTTTTATACAAAGTGCCAAATTTACAATTATTTAATCAATTTTGATTGGCTAATTTTATATAAGAAATTTTAATTGGTTAAAAAAAATATATAAACTTTTTTTTTATATAGTAAATGCCAAATTTTTAATTTTTAATAATAAGCATTAACCAATAAATTTGCTAGCATATGATTTGTACTAAATATGATTAGTTAATTTTTTTGCGCCAAATTTCTGCTTTACTAATAAAATTACCAAACTTTGATCTTTTATAACTTTTGTAAAAAGTAAGATATTAAAATCTGTTTTACAGATTTGTAGTTTAGGTTATAAATAATAAATCTGTAAAAGGGATTTTTAAAATAATTATTTGTTATAAAGTTATTAGATATTTAACAATTGCTAAAAAATTAAATGTTTTTTGCTGTTCTGCACTGTATGAATTTGACAACAACCCAGTTACGTTTACTAAACTATTTGTATAGACTATATTCTATAATATACTCTATTATAAACCTATTATTATCATAAATTGATGATTTTTAGAGTTTCTCAAAATCAAATCAAATCAAATATTGGGCTTATTTGAATTTGATTTGATTTAAAAATTTGGATTTGAATTTGATTTGATTTAAAAAATCTGAATTTGAATTTGATTTGATTATTTGATTAATCATAACTATTTATAAATATCTTTGATTTTCTTAAAATTTTATTAAGTAAATTGATTTTGTATATTAAATAAAAAATGTTCTT